AAGGAGGGTTGAATAACCCTTGGTCCTGTCCATACAAGGAGAGTGAAACAGCAAAGCACTCCCAAAAGAAGGGCAGACTAACTCAATAGCTTAACTGTACCACTGCATTTAGCTCGAGCTTTGCCAGGTAAACTGTGTACAACTAGGAAAGATATTTTCATTAGTATACCAGTATCCACTCCCAGGCTTATGCAGATGCAGTGACAGTAGCCAGATTCCAGCTTCACTCACCTTTGACTGGCACATTTGCCACCAGAACTGCAGAGCAAAGACAGTCTTAATACTTTAGCTCACACTGAGCTATCCCTGCTCAGACCTCAGCCTCTTCGCATAGGAGGATAAAAGTCTCAGTTTTGAAAATAGGTTCTGGATGACCCATCCACACTCACATGAGTCACTGACGTAACAGAATCCTTGCAACTGGCTGACCTTCGCATAGCATCTTTTACACTAGTGCCTTCTCCAGGAGTGAAAACATCATAGACCACTGAAATAAATTGCAGCCTTCCCCCCTCCCATCCCCCCATTTTGTTGAAAGAAATTCCATCACTCATCAAAATCACTGCAAGCTGTGACTATTCCTCTAGGGATACATTTATTTTCTTTAACGAGCTCACCATCCTCTTAGCTTGCAGAGCTGCTAGAGAACTTTGCCAGGCCCCACATGTCCAAGAACAATGAAAGAAATCTTGCATGCTTGACTGGAGACCCTATTGACCAAGTAGGACTTTACCTGTAGTTACCATGTTTCAGCATTGTTCCCCAACCACCTGGGCCAAACCAAGCATTTCGACCTTTACTATGCCTAAACAAATTGATACAATCTAATCTGCTTAAAGAAGGTTTTATAGGAAGCAGTCATAGTCAAAGTCACAGATCGCTTCAGCGCTTTTCAATTAATTTTTGTAGCTGTAATGACTGAGTTTCTTTGCATTGATCTTCCTTTGAATGCAGCCATTAACCTATTTACAAGAAAGGTGTCAGTGTCTACACCACAAAGATATGGCTACAGCTCTTGCAGACATAACCAAGTTGGCTTCAGACTGCCAGCTGGGGTGCTGCTAGCAAGGCAATCATGGAACCCTCAAATGGGCTTTGCCAGAGGTCATGCCACTACCTACTGCAGTGCTCAGCTGGCTAGTTCAAAGTTGCTGTGCTAAGCTGTGCAAACTCCCACAGAATTACCACTCTCCTCTCCTCCACTGCTCCAGTCAAGCACAAAGAATGGTTGGGTGATGACAAAAAACTGCAAGAATAAGGAGGACTACCATAATGAAATGAAATGTGAGCAGCTACAAATACTGCAAAAAGAGGAGAAAACATGGATCTCTAGAGACTACTGGAATTTTCCCAGAGCCATTTTATGACTCCCACAGGAAAGAAATGGACTGTTTGCAATAATAGTCAGTGAAATTTGAGGTCAGGTCATTCCTTGACACAGAAATCACTGTGACCAGTTCTTTATGAAGAAAATTTTGCAGTTGAGTAGTATTACTATAGTCTATCATAATAAGACAGCTTTTAATCATAAAGATAAGCTTTTACTGATAGAACATATCCAGTGCCCCAAATAAACCAAACCACAACCATAAAGGCACAATTTTTACAGTCTAACTTAAACAGCAGAGCTGTTTAAGTGGCAGAAAGCTATCTATACCCAGGTAGTGGGTGGTTTCTTCATAAAGTTAACTAAATCAATCAGCTTATTCTACTGTTGCCAAGGCTCACTCTCATTGCTCTCCATCTGCAAACACACAGATCTAGCTGAGCGTGGTGCTACTACTAAAGAAGACTAGCTGAAGTCCGAAGTTATGGCTTAGGTGACATTCAAAGTTAGGCTGGAAAACAACATTTTGAGTCAAGAATGCAAGATAATCCATTTGTATACAGATATTTCTCCAACATTACTTTACAGTCCTTCATATATGCCCAGAAAGATCAACGAGTTCTTCCAAAATCTCCTGAGGAGGAATCATGGTGGTGTTAAAAAACACAGCAGCCCTGAGACCTATCTCCAAGAAATCTCAATGACAGCGGACCAAGGAGAGCATCTTATACGCCTTCTGTGTGAGCACGCGCGTGGGGAGAAGGTTCAGGTTAACTTAGGTGCTAGTCACCTGAATTAATTCTTCTATAAGGAAAGAACAGAACCCCAAATACAGTCTCTTGACCTAGTGATGACGTAGCATCTCTGATTTTCCTACAGAGCAATCTCCACAAGCTTCTTGCACATATATAGATGAGGTAAATGACATGGGTAGGATTTGAAGAGCAAGGAGATGCGGTCAGGGGAAAAAAAAAAAAAAAAAACAGAAAAACCAAATGTCGATGGTTTTGTAAATATCTGCCCTGAAAACAACCCTTTTGTTGTATCAAGTGGAATGTCGTTAGATTTTCCTGTGAAAGACAAATGATTATATATTATAGCCAAGAAGATGAGCTGACTTTTAGTTTCCTTTATTGTGATAAGGTGTAGTGACTTTTTTTCATCCAGGGTATTTGTTTGATTGCAAACATATTAGTCCAATAACTTCTCTATTCCAGATAATTGCATTTCTTGTTTGCTTTTTTCGTTACTAGATACACGTTCTCCATTCTGGTTAGTGGAGAGTTTAGACTTGTGCAGTGAGCTATTTGGATATAGGATGCATGGATCATTTTTGTCCTGTATTTGGTTACCATTCAGAAGGCATATATGCACAGAAGACATCGTGACTAGTGCCAGTTCTTGGAGATATGAGTGTGGACTTTCTAATCAAAGCCACAATCCAATCTACATTTGGGCCAAAAAACTTGCTCCTTATAACAGTAAGTTATACACAGGTTTCCTCCTCTATCGATACAACCTTTGAATGTCACCTAACCCATTTGATCTTTTGATTAAACTTTCAAAAGTAGCCTCAGAAAACTTGTCGCTGCAAAAGGATGTAGACTGTGATGATTACCAAATTGGCTTGTTTGGGATTAATACTTTATTATGTAGCAATATATTCATAACTACCTGAGAAAGTCAGGAAGAGCAAGAACATGCAATACTGATCATCTACTTTTTTTACAGTGTCAACTCAAGTTCAAGCCTTCGTCAGTGAATTTCAGTTCCTGACAGCTCCTCGTGTGGGTATCCCATTGCAGAGAAAACCAAGAGTGATCCCTAGTGAAGCTCCTGAACTGTAGAAGCTGGTAGAGATCCTTTTAAATAGAAATGACAGGGAGCTGGGCTTTCAGAGCAGAACATCAGACCATTGTCTGTGGTCTAAGCAACAACAGGGAGACCTCTGGGAGACCACCTGTTGCTGCTGCCCTGTTCTAGTTTCATATGGTTCGATACTTCTGTGAAAATTTGAAGACATACGTGAAGAAAGTTTCAAAGCTGCCCTGTGTGGCAGGTGCTACCATTCCCTGCATTACACACTAGCAAGAAACAAGAAGAGATAGTCACACAACCTATCAGGAGAGTAGAGAAAAGCATGCTCCCATCCAGGTACTCTGCCTTGAACCCGTATCTCTCTGGCTTCGGGTCTACAAAATTTAACCATGTTGATAACGTACAATTGTGGGTTGACCCCAGCCAGCAGCCAAGCACCTACCCTACCTTTCGCTTACCGCCCTTTTCCAGAGGAGGCGGGGGGGATAGAAGGAAGGCAAAAAGACTTCTGTGTTCAGGTAAAGACAGTTTAATAGGGGAAGCAAAAGGTGCATGTGAAAGAGAAGCAAAAAGAGGAATTTATTCACTACTTCCCATTGGCAGGCAGATGTCCAGCCACTTACTGAGAAGCAGGGCCTCAGTATGCGTAGCGGTTGCTTCAGAAGACAAACGCAGTAATCGTGAATGTCCCCCCTCCTCCTCCTTTCCCCCACCTTTTATTGCTGAGCATGACGTCATATGGTATGGGATATCCCTTTGGTCAGTTTGGGTCAGCTGTCCCAGCCGTGTCCCCTCCCAGTCTCTTGCCCACCCCCAGCCTGCTGGCTTTTGGATGGGAGGTTGGGGAGAGAGAAAGCTTTGACACTGTACAAGCACTGTTCAGCAATAGCCAGAACACTGGTGTGTTATGAACACTGTTCGAGCCACAAATGCAAAGCACAGCACATACAGGCTACTCTGAAGAAAGTTGACTTCGTGACTTCATCCCAGCCAGACCCAGTATCAATATGAATGGAAAAAAATTAATTACAGGTATCAAACAACTGCTTTCCAGCTTTGTTTTTCTTCTGGGGAGCAGAACAGAGTGCTTTATTTTCTCTTGAGAGCACGAGAGAACAAAAGGGGGAGGTAATCCTCCTTTATCCTAAAATAAGGTCTTTGACTGAAAGCAGATGTTTTTACCCCTAAAAAAAAAACCAATTAGCTTCCACACAGGTGTAAAAACTATAAACCTGGGGCACTAACAAATTTATATGGACCCATCAACTGGCTAATTTCAAGCTGAAATGAATCAAACTTCAACACCACTGCAAAAAGTGCTCAGTGGCCAAGGTAGAAATAATTATGACTTTTTAGATCTCTTTCTGTCTCTGGCTTCTCTATTATTCCATTTCAGCAATATTCAAAATGTCTATGAAGCATGAGACAAGAGAGGCCAATACATTATTTTAACCAGAATCAGGTGTCAAAGTATAGAAAGTTAGTCTACTTAACCCAGACTGTGAATCCAGATGGTAAATTCCAGGAACAATGGGGAAAACCCTCAAATGTTAATCTGATTTAACAGGCTTATTCTGGTTTAGGTCATTTTGTGCTTTTCTGTGCTGTGCCAACCATCAGTGTAAAAAGCAAAGCCCCTCACCTTGAAAACAAGACCACTAAAGACATTTTGCACAGACATTCAGAGAACTGCAGTGAAGTGTTACAGTCTGAAGACAGTGGGTTGGTTTAGGTTGCAGTAGGGTTAGGGGAGGTTCTTGCAAGCAGTAGGATAGACTGGGATCTCCACCCCTTGCTGCAATTATAAAGGCACTAACATCTAGGGAAGGAGCCAGGGAGGAGTTGAAGGGCCAACTCCTTTCCTCTGGAGCGCTCGGTGAGGAATGCTGCAGAACTGTTAAACTAGCAGGCAATGAATTGTTTCTTGGGAAGAGAGCTTATCTCTTTCTTCTGTCTCCCAGTGAGAAAAATGTGGCTGAAGTTTCTTTTGGCTATTCTTCTCCTGCATGTAACAGCTGCAAAGGAACCTGAGCCGTAAGAACTACCATATTATTACTAACAGTATTCATGATAAGGCTTTAAAGACAGTGCTAATTAGTGCCACTACTTTTACTTTAAATAATAAATATTGCCATGACTCATCTTTTCTATTTGGAGAGCTCAGTTAAACTGGAATCTGGATGTCAAGTGTATGGTTCTCATTTAATACGGAGCAGACCTTCTGCCTATTGCAGAACTTCCATAGAAGTTGTGTGTGTGTGTGTGTGTGTGTGTTCAGAAAAGACAATAGCAACAGTAACAGCAGTGTGCTTTGCTAAAAGCAGGTGGGTCCAGGACTCAGATAAAGGGCAAACGGGCAGGAGTTGGGGTGCTAGCAGAGCTGTGTGGGGAACCCAGGGCTGGGGGCTAGTTGGGAGCTGCAAGGCAGGAGTGAGGGGCAGTGGCAGTGTCCTATGTTTAATCTAAACTACTCAGCAGGTACTGAATAATAACAATATTTTGTATTTGTTTTGTCCTGTTGAGGCTGTTTCTCCTTTCTCTATGATGTGAACACTTTGATGTTTGGATCTCACAGGCAGTATGTCCTGATGGTGCCTGCTGTCCTCCAAATCGACTCTCCAGGTCAGGTTTGCCTGCAGTTCCTTAACCTCAACGAGACAATATCCATCAGAGTCATCCTAGAATATGGTGCTGTTAATACCACTATTTTTGAGAAAACCATGACAGCAAGCAATGGTCTACAGTGCTTCAACTTCACGGTAAATTAATTTTAATTTATATCCCAATGGAAAAGAAATGTAAGGAGGGACAAGAAAATCACAGCAGAGAGTACAAGAGAGGAACAAGCAATGGAAGAAATAAGACTTGTTGAAGGAAAACGGAAGCAGAGGAGAGATACATAGTAACAGACAAGGAGGCATTTTTAATAGACATAAGAAATAAGAATGGTCCAAGAAAGGTGATGGAAGGTGATGAAGGTGATAGAAGTGAGACGGGTGTCTCTTTCTAGGAGCCCAGGCCACAGGTATAGCTGTTCAACAGGTTCTGGAGCAGATGATTTCCAGACAACCTCCCCGTTTTTCTGTTTCCTCACAGATTCCTCCTGTCCGTTCTGCATCATTGGCTTTCATTTCCTTCTCTGCCAAGGGCACCACAGTCAGCCTAGAAGAGCGGCAGTCGGTGATGATCTGGAACACAGAGAGCATTGTCTTTGTGCAGACAGACAAACCCATCTACAAACCAGGACAGAGTGGTGAATATCTTTTTAGTTTATAACATGTCCCTTAGGAAGCATTTTCTTCGGGGAGAATTTCTCTTCCAGGTGCTTTTCAGACTGAGCTACAGTCTAGACAGTTTCTTCAGAGTTTCTGTTAAAACCATTACAAGTATGTGCTGTGGAGCTCAGAGAGTCATCTTCAGGATGGCAGGAAACTGTCATCCCATGGTCTCTATTATTTCCTTGTCCCTTCCTCCCAGCTGAAAGAAGAGGGGAGCTTTTACTGCTGCTGTTTCATTAGTGGTGACAGGCCAAGATAGTGGAAAGAGGTGATTAGATCACTACTTACATACCTGGCATGAAACAATGCTCCCACAGTCTTCTGTCCGTGATGCTGGTCATCATCAAAGACAGTCTAAAGACCAAGAGTCAAATCCATTATTTTAAAATTAATTATAATTTTTCTAAAGAAAAAATCATGCTATTTGCCTTCTGGGTTCTGATGGTTTTGGACTTTACATTTTCATGTTTTTGTTTTTCCCACACTTACGGTACTCCCCTATCCATACTTCTCATCTGGCCATCAAGCAGAGCTTGATGTATGCAAAGAGCCATTTATCCAGATCTATTTCTTAATTCACTTCTAGGCTTTAAGGCTTCTAGCACACAGATAGAACACTGTAGAAAACATTAGGAGAATACTTCTTTCCAGAGGTCAGCCAAATAACATAGCAATTAGACTGGATCAGCTATACTTTAATTAGGGATGAGTCCTATCTATATACATACATAGCATGAAGGAAAGCTTACCAATCAGAATTTGGTGCCACCAAGGTGTCCCACAAATATGGCTTGGTTATTTGTCAGATTGCTTGGTTTTGATGTGGGGAAGCAGTTGACTAAATTAAATGATGTAAAGGTAATGCTTTGTAAGGACATTTTTGAAACATTTTTTTATGTTCTTCCTTGTACAGTAATTCATCGTTTTCTCTGTTCAGTTTTTCTCTTGCAAAGAAAAAAAAAATAAGGCAAAAACGTGCACAAGATGAGAACAAACTGAACTAACAAGAACTTAATGCAACTAACTGCATTAGGAAAAACTGGCACTTCACCTAGTTCCATTAATATTTGTAACTTTCACATGTTCAAAGCAACAAACCCTGCTTTAGAGATGGGGAAATGAAGAGGAACAAATTTGCCTGCATCATGCAGACAGCCACTGAAAGAGTTATGGTTGTCACTTGAGACTGCCTGACCTGCACAGCCGTTCTTTTTCATCCAGTCGTCTCCTTTC